ACTCTCCGTATAAGCTTTCGTAACTATCTACTATCTACGACAGTTCTACTTGGTTCGATATCAAGCAGGGTTACAGATCAATGGATTTTTTACCGGTCACACAACTGGCCGGTGACCGGATAAACATATTTTAAACCGAAACACATCCACATATACCCAGTATCCGTCAGCGAAAACAATATATCCAGTTTCGAGTGAACGTTTGGTTAGAGAAAGTCTACCCGCAACCACGAACGGACGCCCACGCACCAAACATTTCAAAACTGCTTCTGTCCGATCACAATTATCCATGAATTTTCTCATCGCAAACTATGACAAGTCACGGAAAGGCAAAATTTTCAACCAGGTGTGCACGTTATTAGAAGTGGCAGTGCGAATGTGTTTTTCGCTACTCACGATTTTGTTTCCAAGATCAGAACGTATAAATCATACGTCAAATAGCTGGCCGTCCATTCGCTGCTTTCGATACGATGAACCTTGTGTATATTTTGGATGCCCGACTTTCAAATCATGAAATCATTCTGTTTGTGCTTAGGTGAGTCTGGAGAGAGTACAGAAATATACCGGTTCTCAAACTTCACCGATTACCTGGAACAACCGACTCACATACGTTTTAAACATTTCATTTAGAACAAGCAAATTTATCCCAAGGAATTCGGTGAAATCTGAATTATTTTAGGGGGCGAGTAAAAAACTACTGTAACGCTGTTTTTTCCTATCGGGGTCAAGATGACCAGTCGCCAGTCATCATCTTCCTAAAGTTTGGACTGACGCTTCTCTGAAGTGAAACAGGAGAAACAGAGTGGGGAAGAAACCTGATGCTAGCCTACCTCAAGCATTTTGAAGTGCTTGCACACTAAAATGATCAAACAGGCATTATAGCAAGAGAATGCCATCAGAAAAACCATGGTTACCGGTTAGACACTATTCCATTCATTATCTACAGCCTGGCACAGTGGGGATCACAAGAATCCCAACCCTCGAGGAGGCCCACACCATCAAAACTCAAACTTTCGAAAATCCCTTCACATCCTCCTACTGCGTCACACGTCATCTACCAAATTAACCTTTTTACTGGACATAACTGGCTAGTAAAATACTGTTGGACTTATTAGGCACAAATCCATTGAGCGGCCTGATGCAGTTTTATACAGCTTGGACCAAATGTTCATCGGATCAACCAACAACTGAAAGCAGTATATATCGCCGAAGACCGACAGACATGACATATGTGAGCAACTGAATTAGCGAAGCGATTGGCTTAGTCTTCCCCGTGTTTATAGACCTTTGCATACTAAATCCTTTACCTGATTTGTATAATTCAAAATTGATAGATTAAATTGCGCTGATAGTGGGAGAATTTGCTCGCAAAACAACCAATCTTGTTTCTTGACATTAGCCGGTGCTTGATCGCTTTCTTAGTGTTATTTCTAGACGTTTCACTGTTGAACAGGTCTATATGAAGACGATATGAGTATTGAGTTGCACTGAGTCCACACTGAGCTCAGATCTGAGGTTCCATCAGCTAGTGCGTCAACATTTAATGTTCCAATGGCTGATGGTCAGTGGGTTGAGTAAGTGTGGTAGCCACTCGAGTTGTCCTCATTTGTGCAGTGCAGACCATCACTAAGAGGTTCGCTAGTTTGAGCCATTTACCACTGCATGATATGCTTCACTAAATTATAGCGTGACTTGCAAATAAGACGACAAACGAGGCAAACAAGGTTTGATATTGACAGGTTCTCCTTGACTTGTTCCAGGGTATGAAGTCAAGTCACATACCAATAAAACACGCAAACTACACTCGACTGCATAAATCACAATTTTTGTCAGCCAAAGGAAATGGAGGACTCACGTCAAAAAATTTTGTTTCCGGGAAGATGAAAGCCTCAACCACCCATAAGTGTGTCATGTCAATGGATGCCAAGAAACGCACGCAAACCACCTCCTACAATGTTCAAACAAATGTTACGTCGGCCACAAAAGTCCGAACGGATTAGTAAATGGGTACTCAAAGACCTTTACTCCAACGTAGGATGGATCAAACAGAAAGGTCCTCCTTTAAACCATGAGGAATAGCGCATGCTACCTCTAACGTACAAATAATTGCATTAGAAGCCTTGTGTAAGTCGCCTTCTTTGTATAAAGATGTACATGGGCCAGCTGCTCAGCAAAACAATTAAGAATAGTGTCCCGAAAACCCCACCCTATTTTTCAAAAGACTCATCGCCGTTTGCATTTAGTAATCAAGAGGAAATTACCATGTCGATTAGTATGTCATGCATTGTTAGCTGTAGTGCTTCCCTTTCATACGGTAAACCATGAGACTGGAAGAAGCAGGTGAGAAACCGGATATTCTTGAAATCCGCAGACAAAAAAACCCTCACTCAAAATGTGTGAAAGTTCAGAAATTCAAGCTTTAATGAAGCGCGAAAATCGATCTAAAAATAGTTGGCCATAGTTGGTTGCTGCTAACCAACAAAAGACAACTAGCATTTCAGTAGAACCAGGTAGCAACTGAATGCTTTGGGAGGGTTAATTTATTGCGTTTTTAGATGTTGAAGTGACACGTAATTTGTATTCAAGGGATCAAGGAAGGCGTAGGAAGTAAGCGATTTGTTTACAGTGTGGGTCAAGATTATTGGACGCGCATCATTTGCACGTTTACCTCCGATTGCTAAAGAAACATGACGTCCGATTTAGTTAAAGAGCTTGCTGTAAAGGCGTAAAGTTCTGTGGAAGGCAGATAAGAAGACTTGAAAGAAATTGACATTTTCTAATACAATTTGTTGCGCGCATGCGCAATTTTGCACACTCAAGCAACATTGAGGTAACCTTCTCTTAGATTAGTGTTATATTCATTTAGAAAATTTGTCACACGGTATCCTATTGCAAATGGCAAAGCTGTATCACAGCTCATTAACTAACTTGAATAAAAATAAAGTGAAGATATGACGACCAAATAATCACTGCGTATCGACAGAGGATGGCACTGTGACAAAACTAAGCAAAACTCCTCGAATCATAGTGCTTTTTGTGAGCAGTCATGGGCAACTTCACCAAAAACAAAAATAATATCACTGCGCTCAGCGTAAGCTTCGTAATAAAATGCCGCAAAAAATTAACATTTATAAAAATAAGCTACATAAAACTTCTATTAAGAACCGAGTGAAAGTAGGGAATCCCTTCGCTGACTACTTGCTTATTAGCAGACACCAACTAAACCGTTACAAACTGTCGGAAAGGAAAGTAAACATCCTATATGCACGTTTTTAAAAAACCTGAACATTCTCACGCGTCCATTCGAGCTATCATGTTTGATACAGCAATTTGTACAGTGGAGCAGCATCCTTGCTGAAATCTCTGACAAATCGACTGTAGTATGTTACTCTTCTTTAAGGACAACTTCGAGTAGTGGACTGCACAGACCTCGATCTTCGTCACTTTTTCTGGAAGTGATCCAACCTCACCATAACCCACCTTACGCCCAAGTAGTGTTACCGAATTAAGAGCGAGTTGCGTCTTGGCTTCATTTATCCGCATCCCAGTCTTCCGGATAAGCTTCAATATGGCCCTCAAGTGAACTGCATGCTCTCGTCCCGAATCGCTATTTACGACGATTTCGTCTCCGTACACTGCACCATTTCGTAGTCCCCTCGTCAAAGAGAGAAGCGAGAGCCCGAATATGAATGATGTGCTTGACAAACAAAAGGGCACTCGCCTAAATTGATTCTCGTGTCCCCAACAGTGAAAGCGCTTTCCTCCCGGTCCTCTGGCTTGATAGCTATCTGGCAGTATCCGGAACGCAAATCGAGAACTGTGAAATATCAGGATTACTGGAACAAATCGAAAATCTCTGCAACCGAGGAGATGCCGGAAATCCACGCTAAAGCGATATTTCCCGTTCGCCTTCTTCACAAGCACAACTGAAAAGTTGTGTAAATTGTTCTCTTCTTCGTGTACACCATTTTCCAAAATCTTTAGAACCTGTTTCCAGACCTCCGCTCGTCAGTGAAACGGTAGCAGATGGGGGCCGTAGGATCGAAAGCGTTCTGACTAGAAGGGAACTTCGTGTTTAATCTACGAGCAACAGCCAATCAACTCTTAATCTCCTGCAAACATTTCGGAGCAATCTTCGACCGCAGACTAAACCGATGACAAATTATAAAACAGAAGCTTTTGGACATGCAGTTCGCTCACGGCGTTGTTAGTGTAAAGTTCAAGCATGACTGAGCCATATTTTGTAATTAGTTTGTCCCGCTTCAGGGCAACCACGGATTCTACGTTCACCAAAAGGTCCCCTCCCAAACTCATACTGCACCGACCTGTCCTCTAGGCGCAGTGAGTGTATTTACAAGCCGTCAGTTTTTAGTCAGCACCCAACTACCCTAACAGCTAGCGCGCACTGTTTGCATTCAGCTTCGAGCCCACTCTGCCTCAACGATACCCTGCTCCTGTATCAATCGGGTACAGCTCCCGTTTCCTGTCTATCTCAATAACGGTCTGTATCGTGGCATGTGTCACTGAACTAATCGCAACCCTTCAGGAAAAAACAGAAGTCATTCAAGGAGCCCTTTTTTACTGGCTGTCGGGTACGAAGGCACTGAGTCTTCCAGTGGTCGAACAGGCCAGAGTTGTAGCACCGGCTCGTTTGAGATGTCTGCACAATTCTGTCATTATGTCCGCAAGCTATTCGATGACTTGGCCCACTTTCGTTTGCAGGTCCTGATGAATCCTCCCTCTTTTTCTGTGACTGCAACCCTGCCAATGGCTCCTCGGCTAATTCGCGTTCCAGATAAACTAGCTTCCCCAAGCTCAGATAGCCAGTTGTTGTTCCCAACCTCAAAGGAAAACCAAGCGCTGGTTGCACACCTTCGACGAGCTGGTCAGACAGATGCTGTTGGCGAGACACTGCATTCAGCCCCTACATGTCACAATCCAACGACTGGTGCCCAGCAAAGAGTAAGGTCGAGTCGCACCCCTGTGCCATCCCAACCAACTTAAACCACCTCTTGGCTTCCTGGCGGTCGGCCACTGAGTCGAACTCCGCTGCAAGGAGTTTCTTCGCGGAGGGTCAGTTCATCTTTCGAAGGTCTCCTGGCCGCATCCCGGGTTGTCCCCACTCGGTCTCCTATGATGGACTTTAGTGCCGCCAACTTACCCCGGTCGTTCTACAGCCTAGCCGCCTCCGAAACAACTCCGAAGTCTTGCAGGAAGGTCGGCACATCTCCATCCTCAAAAGGTTGTGGCCAAAAGATCATCATCTGTATTCCGGTCATGGCACCAAGTGGAAGGAAGAAAACCCTCCACCGCGAATTTACTTGTCAGCAGTTACAGTTCATTAGACAAGAAAGTAAATATCTTACACAGTCTTTAAGAATTGACTATTCTCACTCGTCTTTTTTAAATTTCTCGGATATTTGTTGGCTATTACGCAACTGTTAAGGAACACTGTGAAGCAGTTTCACAGGTTCCGTAATAAACTTTACCTTCAGTTAGACGCCGGGTGGAACTTCAAAACGACCACAGACTACTACGCCTTTACACTAGTGAACGTCCAAGTGTATGAACGCTGAAGGCTTTTAAATGTAATACCGTACGGCTTTTGGTTAATGGAATATTGTCAGGTTGCTATTTCCACGGCATATCAGTGGATGGCAAATTCTGTTGTGCTACGCTGAGGAGTTGCAGTGTTATGAAACGTAAAGGGCACAATGGATGGGGTCCGAACCCTAGTGATGAATAAACAAACAGTGTGGTTTCTTTTCTTATACTGCGTAATGTCTCGAAACAAAAATCTGCACGTTCACTCGCCTAAGTCATTTCTGAGTCTGCATCAGTGCCCGGATTTGCGTGAATTAGTAAAATATGCTCTGAGCAGATCAGAGTAGACCAGTGGTACGGCAAGTTTTGACTAGTAAGCAAAGCTTAAATTCGAGCCACTATAATGCCAGGCTTTGCACCATATACCGCATATCATCAACATGATTCTTGACACACTGTAAGTGACCTTGGGCATGAGGCAACTTGCAAATAGATTTGAAATCGAAGGCAAGTTCACAACATTAGGCTAATTAATGGAAAGCCCGGTTGGATGTCTTGGCCCATTGATATCACAATATAGTTTTTGTCACCTCAACATAGCAAAGGCTTCGCCGTAAAATAAAGACGCATTCAAGTATGCAATGTTATCCAGCAAATGCCCGGCAAGCCAAGAAAGCCAAGGATTAAGCTACTGCACGAGTTTAAGAGCCAAAGCATCGACGAAAGATGGTGTAGCTTGGATGAGACGAAGCTGTCAATTCCACTCAACCCAAAGTTTCAAATGGTTTTATACATCAGGCTCCCACGGACACTGAGTTCCCAGCGAATGACCTACCTAGCAGCAAATGTTTAATGACTGGGGTTTGCGTACCAGTGGTGAGTGTTTACTTTCTGTTTTAGCCAGACCTCTGTGGCCAGACCTCGGACAGCCGACAGGACTCTGCCAGCATATATTCGGTCGATCAACAACCTGGATTACTTTTGAAATGCTTTTTCGCAGAGGAACTAAACTAAGATGAAACACACCCCACTGATGAGATGATCTGGAGTGACAGAGGTTTTATTTCGCCGGACACTTAAAAAGACAAACTCTTCAAGTCCATACAAAAGAACTCTCTGCCCCATAAATTGCAAACTTATCCCCTATGAGGATAAACTATATTTGAAACGTTCTGCACCAGCCACGTCGATGTACGCGTCATTCGTCACCAAGGTGGGGTTGATATAGCCAGAGCTACCTTGTTATCCAATTGTAGCACCAATTCCTATGAATATTGCTTGACTCGGACAAATGTTTTCACTAGCACCCGAATTTGGTATTGGCGGGAAACCCAAATGAATCCGGATGAGTCTCCTGTTTGTGACTTGATCTGATCATTACCTTGACTTATTGTCTTTGCCGGAACCGTGGCACGGTCATCTATATTGTATAGTAAAGACACATATGACACATCGTTATTTGTCAGCTTGCAACAGACTTGATTTCACTTTTATTTTACATTTTATCTTGGCCGCACAATCACTCTTGCTTTTGAACCGCTCTCTCACTTTTGGCCAGTCGGTAAAATGTTGTTCGTTTGACACAACCGATGATATTTCAGGTAAAGAAGGCGGGCATACCTTGCCAACACACCAGTATGTCTTAGCTATAAGGATATTTTCTTATTGACGTTTTGTGCAATCATCACGTCCGTATTATTTTCCGCCGTTTAAAACCTCCAAAGACACCGAACTTTTATTTAATAGTGTGTAGAAAACATAAGATGCAATCTATATTTGTACCACATCTCTTCTGTTTATGAGGCAGTTTGATCAAACCTGCGAGTGTTCCATATTGTATGGTGTGGCCCATTCGCAAATAAAACGAGATACAATAGGAACAAAAATATTATATGGGATATTTGTTGGGAAACAAAGTGAAGAAATGCGAAATAAGAATCGCCTGATTGCAAAAGTATGTCTCTTTTGTGATTTAATATTAACCTTGTGCTAATGACGCCCAATCCTGAAAACCATGTCCTCAACTAATAGCCATCCCTCACTGGTTTCTTCGACGGTTCCTTTTGGTTGTTAGTGGAGAGCTTGCGCATACCTTCTAGATCACTAAGAACTGCAACTCCGTCGATTTTTATGTGTTGCCGGAAAACTGGATTGGCTGATTGACTATTAGTGCATTGGCTGACTGGTGCTTGTTTGTTCGTTCTTGAGACTTATACACTTTGCCCTTTGCCAAGCTGATACTACCTCTTAATAGGATACATAAATGGACAGACATCATCCTGGTTATCCGAAAAATTGCAAAGTTTACACGCGCAAGTGTTGACTTCTTTTCGATACTAACATTGAAAACTGTTCTACCAACAATGGTTATGGAATTCTCTCAGAAATGCATGGAACGTCATCATGCAATTATTTACGCAGTGGGCGTAATTAGCGGCTGATCTGTGAATACAGATGGCTGAATCCATTAGTTCAGATGTCTGCCCTCGACGTGGGTGAGAGGCAAAGCCGACTGGGTTGATATCCTTTCAGTAATATGACAGACGCAATGGCGAAATCGTAAGTTAGTATAAGTGGATTCAAATTGTACAAGTGGGCAAGTTTAGCCAAACCAGCTGGGCAGGGATGTATGTGTGAGTTTGAGCACCAAGTACGAATGAACAATTCAAGCTGGATGAGGATGATGGCGAATGATATATGTGCATTTGACACAGCGGTGGCGGTCTTTGGGCTGTCCCTCTAGTTGCACACGCCGATGGCATGACTGGGTAAGATGATAATCCAGTATAGTACGCTGAAATCGACGGATAAGGGCCAAACAAAGTAACGTGCGCTGATTCATAAGAATCGATCGATGCCTCGGCATGACTGAACGATCAGATCGGCTGATTCCGCATCACACCAGCCCTTATGCGGAAGTATCGGTTTGCGAGATTTTCTGGTTGCTACCTGGAACACCTCAGGTAGATGTTGATGACGAATTTCCGTATGCTTTCGGTGATACTCGTGAGTTTATTGCACTGGAACTTAATTCAACCAACCTACCTCCAACAGGACCACTGAGCAACATACGAATGGAACCATTTTGAATTGGGTGACTAAAAGAGCCACGAGATAATTAACACATCGACATTTATTACGTCACCAAATTGCATCCATGATGAATGGAACCCATGAGTTTAGTAGCACTCACTCGTGATAAATTGGTCTGTTTAAAAGTCATCGTGCTTTATGCACAATACTTAACTGATCGGTACATTAGAAGTGATTGTACAGTTCCTTTGCAAAAACGACTTATTCCACACAGATATGCGCTTTCGCACCTTAGACATAAACAACTGCTTTCCCAAAAAGTAGAAACGTTGACCTCGAAGTGTTGTTGTTGTTTCCGAGAAACAAAAGATACTAACCAGTTCTTTCATATTTATGTGATTCACCAACGCCTGCACATCACCAGGAAGAAATGTGAAATTAGAACACTGGTACGGAAAGTGTCACCAGGTAGTACCATGGCGCCCACCATTGTATCAGCGATCTCCAGAGGATTTCTGCAATAAGAACATTGAGTTGATTGAAATATTATTTTAGGTTTTTGATAAACAGTAAAGGTCACAATAAATTGTGATGGTTTATTAGCGCTCAACTCAAATAGCTTCTTCGAGTCCAAGGGCGAGTGTCTAACTCCAGTCCCTATTCGTTACTCATCTCATCCAGTTTCTTCTCTTCAATATTAGATACAAAACACATTTGACCAAAGCTGATGAAATAGCTCCTGAATAAGTCTTTGTGTGCGTGTTTGTTTGCCTATTTAGCTTGATCTAAATAAAGTATGCATCAGTAAACTCTGACGTGAGATGAGCAGATGACTTTGGCATTGCAGGTGAGGTCCATTGACAATGGAGTACCATGAAAAATATATTATCATTAGGTTAGGTATTTCACCAAACCACATACGATCTTAGAAATGAACACCTCTGCAACGAACGCCCCTGCCTGACTTCTCGCGTCAGCCTAATCGTTTAACGTGTTTATTCTTACTCAAAACGGTTAAAGTCCCAGTTGGCAATGTTGTGGAATGTAGGTAGCTCGGGTGCGCTGTTTGGTTGTTGGTCTGTTCGCCGAGCTTGGCAGTTGGATTGCAAACGTTTCATCACCAATCGAGGTGACATCGTCAGTGCAGGGTTGAGTGGGTGAATTCCTCCTCTTCTGCCTGTGATTATATAGCTTCTAAACAGTATCTGGTAGTTCTGGAAACGGTCGTCGTGTAGTTTGATTGGTCTTCTGTGAATCTCACGTGGTTTCAACCTCCTGTGTCTGGTTGGTTCGTTGGGTGCATTCAATTCGGCAGTTCTGTATGTGGTTGTCATGCTGTGATTCGGTCGTTTCCTTCTTGCTTTGTTGGGTGGGTTTTCCTCATTTGATTGGCCTTCTGTTTTTCGTGATTGTCTTCCTTTGACCCAATTACTCCGTTGGTTGCCGTTAGGTTTCTTAGCTCCGAGTCCCGTGACCGTGTGGTTCTTTCGCTCGTAACGGCTGATAGACTGGGTCAGAACTGCCGAATTGAATGCACCCAACGAACCAACCAGACACAGGAAGTTGAAACCACGTGAGAATCACAGGAGACCAATCAAACTACACGACGACCGTCTCCAGCTATATAATCCGAGGCAGAAGAGGAGGAATTCACCCACTAAGCCCTGCACTGACGATGTCACCTCGGATGGTGATGAAAAGTTTGCAACCCAACTGCCAAGCTCGGCGAACAGACCAACAACCAAAATCCCAGTGCTCTTACCTGTGGATACAGTTTACCAGGAAACCTGAAGGCTGAGAAAGAGCGTTGCTTCAGTTTCTGTGATCTAGATCAACCTACAACACGAGACACAGATCATCCCTTCATATTAGGATCGTTTTGAATTTAACGCCACCAAAATCATGTTGCTTCGGTTATGGAGTATGAGTAAAAGAGACATTTCAATGGAGATATTTAACTCTTGAAATGTGTCTCTACAAAAAGGTGCTATTTGGTGTAATAAAACTTTTTCAGATTTTGGTGACTGGAGTTTACAAACGGAACCAAGGCAAATAACGGACGCCTTGATTCCGAAGAAATAGTTTGATAGGGTTTTAAAAGTGCTCATGTTAAATAAAGACTTCTGGGAACGTTCATCATTGTGATTGTTGAAGATCCTTGGTTCATAACAAATGATTGGTCCATGCCTGAGGAGAAAACACGAATAAGCCTGAGATTTTCAAACGCATTTCACTAGTTCCAGACGGATCGGTGCAGAACTGTCTGGTTTTTGTCGGAAACCAGCTCACAATCTAACGGAAAACAAACATTTACAAAGTTTGTGGTTCTCTCAACATCCACCGATTGTTTTTCAGGTCAAGAAATGTAAAATGTTAGGAAATGTTAGTAATGTTAATAAAATGTTAGCAGCCTAAAGAATGATAATAATGTTTCTACGATGGCAGACAAATGCTTTGTGAGTTACGTAATGTGTTCATATTGCTTTAAACGAAAGGACTCTGGGATTCTCCCCGGTGAACAAATTTTAGCTGGGCAGACACAATCTACCATTGGCTTTGGAAATTTTGGAACACAAATGAACTCCCTACGCTTAATTAATAGTTGCGACACTCAAATACACGGGTACCAACTGCATCATTTGAGTGCATCGAAATCCCACGAGGAAAAATTAAGGACCACTCGAGCTGATCGCTCATCAGTCTCAACTCACATTCACGTTCGAATGAAAAAAAAAATCCGTCTGCTACGAGACCACCAAGTCTGGCCATCGGTCAATAATGAGACTGTTGAAATGAACTCAGACAACATACATAACTGCTTCAATCGATGAGACGGCAGCAGTTTGGCATAATGGATTCAAATCAGCGAATTTGTGAATCACCACAATTCTATGATAAAGCAGTTTATCGCAGTCTGTCCCGCTCTGCCAGACATCAGTTCAGATTATCAAGACGTGCATGCGAAATAATCACTTAAAACAGTTGTTGTACTTTCTAACTATTTCCGATTACATCGCACCAAATTACTAGTCTTTTATTGATAATTCAAAAGGCTATTCATATTAGTTTGGCACTTCCTTTTACCATGAAAACGGCTGCGTAGATGTAAGCAATTTTTGCCACAGATTCACTAAACTACAAGATAAGCCTGACAATAAATCACACAGTTGTATCCCCACCAACAATTCTATCGTCTTGATGAACCACACCCAACAAAGCTCAGGTAAACTGTACCCTCAAAAAAGGTTTTATAATGGAGAAGTTTGAGGAAAAACCTACAACTGAAATAATTGGGGCATCGCACTCGATGCGTGGGTAAACTACATGGAGTTTTCTATAACCTACTAAAGAACCAGAAGGAGCCGCAAAAAGTAGACCCGAAGGAAGAATTGTGGATAGAATTATTGTTAGCATTATGATGAGCTAAGAAAACTAGGTTTGTGATTCACTATTTTGTGGCGACAGGTAGAACTAGCACAAATCAAGTTTCAAACAAGCAAATCTTTCGATAAATACACTCATTTGCAAATTAATTTGGTTTTCACGAGAGACTCAACTGAATCTCTCGCTGATGATATTCTACAACTGAATGTGCTGCACACAGGCCGCCTGATGTTTCAGTTGGCAGGATATTCAAGAAATCACAGTATATTTTCATTAGAGAAACTAATCACAAGGTTGCTGAAAACGTTTTGACAGCCCACGACCGGTTTTGCCCTTCTCGGGGCTCGTTAGGTAGGCGCCAACCTTTTGTTCTACTTGAACCCAAATCGGGCTATTTTCCAGAAATACACTCATTTGCAAATCCATTTGGTTTTCACAACTCATATTACACCCTCTTGAATACGGAAATTCATTCTTAATGCCGTTGTGAGCGCACGCATTCAACAAATTTACAGTAGTTTTTAGACCCAGCTAAAATTAATGAAGCATAAACTCCAAGAAAAGCAGTTTTGATGTAAGTGAATTTCTCAACCTTCCTTGTCTAGTAGGTTTCAAGCTTCCGTTTCGCTACTTGACTTGAAAGTTTTGAGAGGTGGGTCAGCCGAACGACAACATAACAGGACAGTTACTGCGTCATCCATTGTTCGACGGGCCGGACAGGCTAATGACATCGCTCAGGCATGAACAGATATGCCTGTCCAGACGTGAAAATTTCGACTGGTCCAGCTTTCAAAGTGGGGTGATGTAACCAGGCTTGACTCCCACGTCAGATGTTTGGAGCTCGAACCCCAGCAGGAGCAAGGATATGCGCTGCTAATTAACTCCAATACGAGCGAAACTAGAGTCCAGTTTCCCACGTTGTGGAAGCACGAGGAAAGCTGCACCAGGACAGGCGAAGGGGTGTTCAAACGAGAATAATGTGATTTTGGATTTTGAAAAGATTAGCTGCTTTGCTCACAAAGACACATCGCCGTTCAGTGGGCATGGAAATGAATCAGCTGTTTCACAAGGTCCCTGTTATACAGGTCAATATCACTCAAAAAGATATAATTTAGATCACCGTGTTTGACGTTCAGTGTGGCTCGGGCACCGAAATCTAAATGGTACGCAACAACTTTTCGCTAAGCTCCCACATTATTAACCAGAAAAGCTGCAAGTGGTAGGGTTAACGAAGAAACGTTTGTTCAACTCTTCTTGGGTGGCCTAGAATCTCCCTAGTTTTTTGGTGAATTTTCGCTATGCTATCCAATTTAGGCGGACACGAAATCGCCCCTATCTATGAATACAACCGTATTCAGTCTCAAACAGTCTCAACAAAGACAAATACCAACGAAATATTCTGGCAAACGTTCGTTCGACAGATTTAACAACGGCCAATAAATGTTGGCCTGATTCAAACGCTACATAGCAACGTGATTGAATTTGACCGTTATAAATCGTAACAAATTTAATAAGACATTCGTTGTCTGTAGAATTTGCAAGTTTTCACACCGTTCGAGAAGTGATGGGCTGATGTTAGTGGCAGTACTGACGTGTCGGTGCTGTTCAGAGCTTCGTTCAGTCTACTGTGAAAATGAGAGTAACTTCAGTGAAAACGACCTAAGCAAAAGGA